CCACCATCGTCAGACACACCACGTGAAAAGAGACCAGAGATCCAAGGCGGTTTACATTATTTATTAGGCGTACCAGCGACGCGCATACACACCGAGTGAGAGCCAAGACAAACGACTGCATAATCAACAATTAGCCGCTTGATACGCGCTACGTGATAGTTTTTAACGAGCGAACGCGGTCTACTGCATTGGCGAGATGCGTTTTCTCACTTCATCGTCCCAGTCACTGTGTACCTTGTGCCGATTAATAACTTGCCACTGCAAAACTTCGTTATTTCGAAACACCGCGAATTTCAAAAGGACTCGTTAACTGCAAATGAATGAAAATTTATTACTTATTTTTTTCGGGAAATAGCACTTTTAACTGTTATTAAGTGCAAATATTGGCGATTATAATGGCGTGCTTTATCAAGCTAAGTGCTATTAAAAAGATTACACCCCTAAAATTTGCATTGTAAAAATCTGGAGTTTCACGCAAGCATTTTTAGATTTATCTTGCTTGGATTCGAATACAAATAAGAGAAGAATGTCATTTTCGACCAAAGCAAGTCTTAATAATATACGACTCAGATTTATCTTTCTTAGGTTCAATCACTCAATGACAAAATATCGCTAAATTATCCTCTAGCTGTTATTATTATTAATACTAGAACTATCAAACTAGAAGCAGGCAACAGTTTTGTTACAAAAGGGAAGAAAAACGCACTGGAAGAACTCATCCACCACCGATGTAGAAACAATAGCTCATGAGGAACAATGAGAGAAGGCAAGCGAACTCGGTTTTCTTTCTCAACTGCTATAATGCGTCGACTCACTCGACGAGAATGCGACTTGAGCCCATGTAAAGTCAGACCGCCGCAAAAGGATCAAATCCATAGAATCGGCTTCTCTCGTGAGAGCTCCGCTTGCTCGCCCGCTTCTCTCGGATCACCCGCTAGAGAATATACATCGACGTGTCGCCGCACCACCGGGGAAGAGCGAGAGAGAGAGAGAGAGAGAGAGAGAGAGAGAGAGAGAGAGAGAGAGAAACCGAGTCACTTCTCGAGAATGTGATTTAAGTCCTCGCATAAAAGACGACGTTGCGCAGAATTACAAGCGGCACGCAGTTCCGTCGGTCGATAGGATACGTCGACAGGAACGAAGAACCATCCTCTCCTGCATTACCGTGTAGAGAATACCGAACGATCGCCTACATCCGCGTGGCCATTCAACAGAGATGTTGCTGGGACGTTGCGAATCGCAACGAGATCAGCTCGCATTCCTGCATGTGACCGCGAGTAACGTAGTAATGTCAAACTCGAAACAGGACGTGTACAAGTATGCCGTTATTACATTGTTATGCATCTATTAAATACTCAGCGCAGAAGCGCGCTAACTCCATTTATATGTCTAGATTCATTCCAAATATAACTTCGTATTTGAAATATCGGAAATTATGGCTTTAATAATATCTAATTTTGTCCCGTACGCAAAGCCGCAGAGAATGCAAGTTTGTAAGATCATTTTATATCATTACTTAATCGGGAATAATCACCTGAGATATTTTTATCACAACGGAGAAAAAATGTAAATTGTAAATATTGATCGGATATTGTTTAACATATTTTTTTTTCTTTAATCCATATTTTCAAATATTAATAAATCAGAAAACAATCAGTAATAGACAATATGTTGTTAATAATAATTTTAATTGGAGTATAAAATACTTCATGTGATTGTTTACATAAAAAAAAAATCAGGTGAATACTCTCGAGTTAAAAGAAAAGAAAAAAGTGAGAGAAAAAGAGCGTGCAGCCTAGTTATGCGATAATTAGTTCACGTTTTTCCGTGACCACCGACAACTCGTTAGAATCGTTTCGTAATTGCAATTGCTCCTTCGACATGTTAACTAGACGACAGAATGCCTTTCCATGTTTGACCGAACATGGCAATATTTTCAAGGTTGCCCGAGCGATATCACATCTTTCCACCTTTGTGTGGTTCGTTATTAAAAAACCGAAAAATTTACGACGCTGTAAAAATTCGACCCGCAAAAAGAATTTGCGCGCGATCATCCCTCGCCGTTAATTCTTACGCCGTAAAATTTGAGAAGCACGAACGAGAATTTAAGCTCATCGGAACAGTACAGCGGCGAGAAGCAAATCCGTATGAACGAGGCTAAGATTACCGTAATGGCTCGCTTTACGATTACAGTTATCGAGACGGAAATCTGCGAAAGCCCGACATTAACTGCGGAAACCAGTCTTGAGAGGCTGCCAACGTCGTCCTTCAAGCCGAATCCTTCGTATCTTCCTATAAACGCGTCGACATTCGGAATTATCTGGTATTTAACTTCACTACAAACTTCATGCTTACGTTTGTCCTCTCATGCTTTACCCTCCGGGTTTTATTCTTGTTCAGCCGCTAATGGCTTCAATTAGTATTGTAAATAGGCTGTGACATAGGACTTAAAATCTAAAGTTATTAAAATGTTTGCTATTGTAAAAGGGATATGACGGGAAGAATATCATCATTCTTTTTTATGAAGAATCAAAAACTTTCACAACTTTGGGATTTTCACGCCACACGATATTAATTCAAAGTCAATTAAAAGCTTTGTAAATTGATAATAAAAAGGTAGAGAAATAAAGAGGCGGAACTCTACGAAGAGACACAACGCATCTTTACAGTTATCCCCTCTCCCCTCTTTAAAATATCTTGTAAGATATATTATATATATTATATATATATATTTGATAATGTAATAAAGATGTTGAAAAGTAACTCTGAATTTTTTCTCATTTTTTAAAAGTTTAGAACTGTAAAAAAAACGAGCTGGATAAAAAAGATCCAGATTGCAGACGGAGGGTTAATTCTCTTATAGTTTGCATAATTACTTTTTGCTCGAGACTTATAATTAGGCAATTTCTTTATTCATACGATTCAGGGAAATTTTCTTTTAAAAAGATCTTGAAACTCCCATCTTGAAAACATTTAGCTTCTTCTGATTTCCCAAGCCATAATTATTCAAACGCTATATACATTTCGATGGCAGTCATAAATCTTATCGTCGACGTCAGGAGAACGTATCTACGATGCGCACAAAGGTATCGCAGGCACTTTAACGATCTCACGATCTAATTAATATAATTGTCTTGACGACGACGTGTATCAAAGAGCTTCTCCGATCAAGAGAGAGCTAGAGCTGCTCTTATTTATTTGTAACTCTGGTAGTAGAATACACCTGCTAGCATTAACAACCGCAGTGATCAATTAATTCCCATTAATTGAGAGAGAGACAAGATACATACGTCGGATGAGTTATGATTGAATCGCGATAACGGGCTGTATCCGCTTACAGTAAATTAACCGGATGCTCAACCACGATGATACGTCAAATTTTCAATTACGTACCAACAAACGGATATTGACAGTACGATATAATCTGATTCATTGACACCAGCTGACTCTCCGATTTCTTCGGAATTCTTTTCACCTAACACAAAACTTTGCTAACCAGTCGATAAAAAGATTGTTCCTGTCGAAATAATACTCATAGATAAAAAAATACAAAAACACACATAAGCGGAAATAACAACGGATATCGGCAACGGATGAGGGACAAGAGATTCTTGGAATTCCGTGGAGATATTCTTTCACAGGTGACGACAGTGGACGAGACGTACCCCTTCGTGTGTGTCTTTCGTATGCAACTGTGACCACCGCCTAATACGCGGCAAGGCGGCACATACTAATTAGCTCTGTGAGCGAAACGCGCCATGAATACAACTCCATGTGGAGAGAGAGACAAACATTAGATACTAGAGAGCCACGGCAGCCACGGTACTTGAAGTACGGCCAGGTCGAGGCTGAACCTCAAGAGACATTTCCTGTCTCAGCGATCGCCAGGACCAAGTAGTATCCCGCTTTCCTTCGCGAGAAGTTGCGCATCGCTATTGTATTTTAAAGATAAATTTAAAAAATTTTAAAATATAGATAATATTAAACAAAAATCAACTGATGAGTAAAAAGTGCCATATTCTATGCTTTCAGAAATTGTTAAAATTTGTATTTTTTCATACCACAATAGTTATTATATTATTATTATTATTATTATATTCGGTCAAGGTTCTTCTCGTGCTTAATAATATTTCTTGTAAATTTATACAATTTTCAATACAAGCAAATTATGCGCTAATTATTTGTCAGTCTTGAAAGACTTCCTAAACCGAAATTGGAGTAGTGATATTATAAATTAAATTGACAAACAATTTAATATTATTGATGGAAATACGCATCTTCGAAAACTTAATAATTTGATGCCAATAAGCATTATAAAATTTGTAAATAATGCACAGTTTACTTAAAATGAAAATTGTATAAATTCATAAGAAATATTATTAAGCATGAAAAACAACCTTGACCGAATATGGCATTTTTTACTAGTGTGTGTTTAGCAATAGTATTATATATAAAGCGTGATAAATAACACAATTCGAAGTCACACATAAGTATTAAGTTAATTCTTTTAAGAATTAAAAATTAAGTGTTTTTCTCCGCTAACATGGGAGAAGGTGTTCTGGTCGTAAACACAATGTCCGTGGTCGAATGGTAAATATCACATGAATTTCAGCTGGTCATAATATCAAATGCGTTCGTGGCAAGACATTGGTTCGCCCTAAAATTTACGAGCCGTGAGATTTCCAACACGCGTTGGACACCCTCATACACGCGATTTCGGTAACGCCGAAATCGATAGGAATTTATCATTAGCGGTTTGACGCGTCTTAGCTATTGCGATGCTATGTGATCGATGCGCAGCACGCCATCCGATCACACAATATTCACACATTGCCGATCGCGAAATCAATCCATTCTAATAAACAACGAAGATAATCATGCTGCAAAATCTCTCCGCTTGTCGCATTGTTCTTGGCTGTAATGGCGATCGAGAGTATTCCCACGGTATACACTCGCTATCACGATATACACCTCCTTTCAATTCTTCTCGTTATATTTACCCCGCTTTCCTGCCCCCCGTATTGTTTCCAATAACTGGGCGACGAGCTGAGCTGCATGATCGGACCGGTTCCGGACAGGTTGCTCGGACTGGACGTCTGAAATCGGTCTGCCGCCGCCGCCGCAGCAATATTTTGCAACTGTCCAAGTTGACTTGGGTTGTTCCTGTGCTGGTTGCTGTTGGACGTCATCAGCGGACTGGCGCGAGAACGATTGCATACGACCTGCAGCAGATTCGAGCCGCTCGCGAGTTGCCCAGGACTTATCGGAATCTGCCGCACGTGTGTATTCTCCGCGTGAATGTACCGCTGACTGACCTGAGCACTTCGCCGAGTTTTACATTGATTATTCTGACCAGTGGTCTTCGATTCGTGGCCGGATTTCACGTCGATCCCGAAATCGCTCAGTTTAAAGTTCTGTTGATTCATCTTGAAATCCGCGTTGTTCTTGAAACTCCGATCCATCTCGATTCCGTTCGTAGTCATGTAATTTCCTTCGCCACCGCTCGACACGTCTTGACGTTGTGCAAATAAAACCTGACTTGTAACCAGCTATCCTCGTGGATTACAAAATCGCGGGATCTTATAAATCACGTGGAACATCTGCGGTGTTCGTTACTGCACGGTACACTCGTCGTTTAAAATGTTTTGTAGGGGACTCCTCTCGGTCGGTGACGGCATGTGAAATGAGAGATGAAATTAATCGCAGGTGACTGTCGCGGCGATACGTTTGACAGTTCACCGCTGATCACCGCTCGCCGCCTTGACACAGTTCCAGCGTTGATGCGCGTAATTCTTCCAATCCGTCGCGATTTGCCGACGCGACTCGTCGTCGGTGTATTCGAAACGGACACCTTTGAACGTCTTCCAATATTCGCGAGTCGAATTTTCACACGGCTGGCACACCCTGTCGCGCTTGGCGATCGCGTGGATTCTGTCACCGTCCAAATAGTGACCGTAGTAACGACGAAACGGCCTTGCATCGAGCGTCACGGTCGCTATTTATCACGCCAGATACACGACGAATTAACATTTAGTGAAACTCGAGAGCTCGCGCGGCGCTTGATCAGAGGCTGCAACGATCGATGATTATTGATGGATCAGCTCAACTTTGTTACATTCTTTGCTCGCGATAATCGTTAGTCGCTAGTGAAAGTCGCGAGGCGAAACGCCCGAGTTTCGCAATGGAAGAATCGTCTTTGATTTTGCGTCACGGAAAACGAGATGGAATTTTTGATGGCTCGACAAATCGACGGAATTCATCGTTGAACGATAAAATTATCGCCTTTGACACGTTTGAGGTCGCAATGGGTGTCGATAACAAATTGTATTGATGAAACAGATTGCACAAATTATAACATCGAAAAGTCTTCGACTAGAATAAATAATTCGCGTAACAATTAAATACGTTGAATCATGGCGCCAAAAGGAGGCAACGCTACTTTTGCAAAACACGACCGTGTCTATACACGCACTCGATTCCTCGACGCTTTCTCGGGCTGGTCGAATCTCGCCCGTCGTAATACGCGTACTCGTGTTGACACGAATGTAATTGCATCATACGGTGTCATGCACGAATCTACCACAACACACGGTTTTCGCAGTGCGGTGTTCCCTCGATCTGTTTGCTACGTTCTCCACATTGGAGAATTTTCTATTGATACACATAAAATTCTCAAACAGCGATTACAGTATGTACACAGGGATTGCACTCGCGCACAGAACGTCCCACAGCGGAAACAATTGAAAGAGAGAAAGAGAAAGGATTAGAAGGTAAAACAGCCAGCTGGTTAGCCAGTAGAGAGACGACTGGTTTTGTGTTACCCGACTCCGTAGGCTACACACCGCACACGGCACGGAGGAGGCTGGGGTCCAGCGCACCCCTCCACCAGACGATACACAGAGCAAGTGTGCTTACTCCCCCCCTGCGGTACGTACGTAGAAGTCCTTACTCGTGTGTGTGTGTGTGCGTGTGTGCATCGATGCATTCTCGCTCCGTGCATGTACGTTTCTATCTCTCTTTCTTTCCCCGCTTCTCTCGGCCCGACCCCACAAGAGACGCTCTTGCAGTCTCTCGCGCGTATACACTCCATCGTAGACGAAATGCAAGCGTTGCACTCCGCGTGAGAGTCAAGTAACGTCTGCACGCTAAAAAATCGTGGGAATTAAGCTCGGGACAACCGCACCGAACGAAATTGCCGAGCGATACGATTGCGATTTATCGCGTAATAGCATAAAGTTTCAATATGGCGATTAAAATGATTGACGTCTATTTTATTCCTGATATAAATTGTTATGATCCCTCTTGCGATGTTTCCGATATTGATCAAATTACAGAATTTGCGCACAACTTCCTATCGTTTCCTTCTATCGATTTTCGACGTAATTAAACTCGAACGCTTCCACGATTACTAGAGTTAAGCCTCAGAAGCTTGTATAATATCTCGGATAGTATTTAATAGCGCAACGTTCGCTCGATAATAATGTAGATCATAGAAAAATGTAAACCGAATCGGATATTGATTCGAGGGGGCGAGCGTTGTTTAGAACAGTGCCTATCTGCCCCTCGATTCACGCCGGATCATTAATCGTGGATCGGCGCGATATCTTAATCGCCTCTTACTTTCTGTTTCATTTTTTTTACAAGGGGTCAAATACCTCGGCGCAGCATCAGAGCATTATTTCCAAGCCATCGCATTGGCCGTGATATGATACTATCGAGCCACCATTTCTCGCAGTCGGTGCACGACTGCGACTCGTTAGATTTGCAAAATGCTTAATGTTTGATTGTTCGCCTTATAAAAAATCGGAAAAATTCGCCTATCCCTTCTGCGTTGCGTCCAATATTGAAGAATAATTTCGCAACGTTACAATTGTTCTTCAAATAAATGTCTGTCGAAGAGCGAATACGGAATCATAAAATTGGAAAGCAGGAAAATTAGGGAAACGTCAGGGAAATGGAAAACGATGAGAGAAATCAGGGAAAAGTCAGGGAATTTTGCGAAATTTTCTGGAATTAAAATTTTTGACTTTAAAGAAAATTAACATCATACTTACGCAGTTTTTTAGTACTATGAACTTAACAATTAATAATAATTTACAGTGTTACGTTTCTAATCAGGATAAAAATAGAAAAAATTTTTGAATATTATTGAAAATATTAGGAAAAAGTTTTGGAATTTTAGAATGAGGAATTTGTGACAGCCCTGGAATAAAAATAAAATCCAGTAATCCTAAATTTGGCAGACTCGAGAAACCTAAAAGCATATTGCAATAAAAGACAAGCGGGATATATTTCACTGAAGAGATATACTGTTAAGTTTAGGAGAGGGTTGCTCTCGTCTGAATGAATTCTGTCGAGCAGAAAAAAGTCTTGTTGTCTCAAGAGTAATTCGTCATTAGTTCGTAAAAGAGTGGGCCCGCATCGCCCATCGAGTCACGACAGTACTCGGTTCTCTCGAAGTTTCCAAGATGCAGCTCGCTGCATTACGCCGTTGCATCTTTCTCTCTCCATCTCTCGTTGGGCACCGTTGCGGGGATACAGAAATAGTTTATCCGCGGAGGGATTTCGGGAGAGGAGGCCGAATGGAGCGAGATGGGAGAAGGCAGAAAGAGGAGGAAGGAGAGAACCGGAGAGAGAAACGACAGAAAATACGAGCGGGAGTTACGAGTTACAGCGGAAAACGGTGGATTATGTGTGTTTAACCCTCCCTGGCCCGCCCGCCCACCTTCTTCGTCACGGCTTTCATTCCTACCCCACGTCCCGCCGTCGACTCTACGTTCGCCGTCGCGCAAACGCGCTTCCGAAAGCCCCCGAGTTATGTTTGAGCACGAAAAGTAAACTTCGACTTCGTGGCGACGTGAGGCGCTTTGTGAGGATTAGGTGGTCGCCACTGGGTGAATCGATTCCTTTGTTCCGACTTCCGCGGCTCATGGAATCGATTCTCGGCGGACAGAATCCGCTGCTACATCAACGACGTCAAGGTCCAACGGATCTTCGACGCGACTCTCTCGTGCGAACGTTTAAAGAGCTTGAGAATCGTCTGGAGAGAAAAGATCGAGGTCGATTTTTCATAAACAATGCCGCGGAATTCGAGATGGTAACAAAGACGATCGCTTGAAACACAATTGTGCGAAATGAAAGTATCCACACGTATTCTTAACTACTAATTATTTGTCCATTATAGATGAATGCGGACAAAGATGCCGGTTATTTTACGTTGATATACTCTCTTAAAATCTTTAGAGTGGAATCTAATTCTAAAGAGTGAAAATGACTGGCAATTGAGCCAGTGTTAAAAAAGAATTGGCTTGATTGCCAATTTCTAAGACTGAGATTTCACTCTAGTGTTAGATTCCACTCCAAAGAGAGTAGTATCTATCATTTTTTTATTTTGCTCATTTTGATCGTTTTTTTTTTTTTGAAATAGTAGTAGTGGTAAAATAATGTAAAAATAACACATGAGAAATAATTGAAGTACAACTCCGAAGTATCTATTTCGGAAACTACGCGGGGGCGTTTAAGATCTCGGAAAATTATGCTGGGTAAAGATGCGAGTGCGACGAAACGAATGTCCACAGCCTTCACAATTCCAGACGCGACTCTGATCTCCGTGGCAGCTGAGCTCCTCGGCGACGCAAAGTGGAAACGGGGAGGTAAACCCGAGGAAAAACCAGCCTGGTCCGACGTGCAACAGGTAGGGAAGCCAACGGCAGAGGCTCGGTGTTGCAAGTTCAAGCGGACACCGCGAGTACAGTGACGGCGACGAAATCACCTCTGGCGAGATTTAAGTCAAGGTGAACGTTGCGAAAGAGTCTGAGGTCAACTGTAACAAGGGCCAATCATGGTACTCGCGATAATCGTCACGTCACGATATCTCTTTCCGATATATCTAAATTTTCAACAAAATCTATTACAATTGCTACGATAATTAGATCTGTTTTTTTCCTATTTCTGCATTAGACTGAACTAGAACTCTCTTTTTCACTTTCGCCAAATATCAAACATGTACCTATCTCACTTTAAGGTCCAAAAGTGTACACTGCTTTCTAAAATCTTTGGAGTAAAATCTAAATCTAAAGAGTGATAAAAACTAACAACTAAGTCAATGTTGAAAAAGAGTGACCCAATTGTCAATTTTTAAAAGTGAGATTTCACTCTTTAGAAATTCCACTTCAAAAATTTTAGAGAGTAAATTTTAGAGAGTTCAGCCACAGAAAACAGACCTATTGTAAAAAGAACAATCGAGATATTTAGAACACTAAGCGATGAATTTTCGAAAATTATATAAGATTTTAAATCTGTGACATGGCCGGAGTAATCTGTGTTTGTATCACTGGAATATATTGCGCTTCAAGCCACAGAATTAAACGTCGCATTTTACGGTTCAATGACATAATGGAATATCGTGCGTATTCCTCTGTATTACCTTTTCCTCTATCCATATAATGGACGTACTAATCGCGCGATCAATGCGGTAACGCGCATGCAGATAACAAGTAGGTGGTTCACCATCGATCCGGATCGGATCGCGAAGTGAAGTGCAGTAGCAAATCGAGCAATGAGGTGAGTGAGCGAGCGGGCGATACAGAATTCCCGTCGATCAATGCGCGCCTTACCGGTTG